GAATATTGTCGTCGATTTTGCCCGTAATACGATCAGACACGCTATACGGTGATGAGTAAAAATGAGTGCGTACACACAAACGCTTCTCCGCGTGCCCCCTTTGTTTGTTGATCATACATGAGCGATCGTGCAGGTGCCGCAATGCGCGTTTAATGTAATAATAAACTTAATCTCGACATCGATATATACTACTAAACGTGTGTGCAGGACGATAATTAGAAGAACTTTCGAGAAAAATTGAATTCTGACCAGCGCAGGTGGGCAACATGGCGCGTGGCAAATGGCACGTGGGCAACAATGGCTGGCTACACCGCAGGAACACGAAATTAACGCTTGTTGATTTTTTTTCGCGCTGGTGTCTAAATTGGCATGCGACCTGCGTTCGAATCCCCGTCTCACGTAGCATCCGCACACCATGCAATCCATTAGTTTTGGATTTTACGGTAAATTGTGCATTCATGCTCTCGCTCGCGTATAGGCATCGGTTTATTTCGCCTCTTCTCAATTATTTCGGCACCATCTATTATTACCGAGTTTTTCGTTTTTGTCGCCGTCTTAATGTTTATCGACGTAATCGTAAATCTATTATGCCGCAGAATTATATTCCCAACACCTAATTGCCAACGGCTGCATTTTCCCCAGAGAAATGCATTACGCCGATTTTTTTTTCGATTTATCCAGCGGTATTGCTACTATATAGAGCCCTATAGTACAACAGTACGGTACCCGTACGTGCGCGCGCGGGCGTGTGCGTGCGTGTGTGTTTGTGTGTGCCCGCGCACGTTCGTATATGACTGTGCATGCATGTGCGTGTGTGCGTGTCCGTGCGTGTAGTGGTGTGTTCGTGTGTGCACATGCTAATCGCATTCTTACATACACCTAGTTGTCAGTGTCCTATTTCTAGAGTTCTACTCATATATGACTTCTATATAAATTTCGCAAACCTGATAAAAAAAAAGCCGTCATATGAACAGAGCGTACACAAAATATTTGTGTACTGGATAGTTACTCGCTATTTTCAAATGGAATACATACAATCCAGATAACGTATTTAACACAATAGAGTTCTGACGCCAGTATAAAATCGTATCTGATCTCATGATTTCCTATCTCATCTTTTCTTTTTATGCATGTAAATTTATATAAATTTATATTTAAAATGTTTGTTTATGTCAACATACCCGGTCTAATTTCTTATCCCAGTTTCTGACTTGATATTACCTGACTCTGCATCATACTGCTATGACAGGAAATGACATCAAGTTACCATTTAACAATAGAATGATTATGTTGCAAGTATTTCAGTGTGTTTACTATAAGCATTATAATCAACATGACCATGCCAATTGCCTAATTATAAAGATTGCCTCTATTTGTATAGGCGACGGGATGGGTGATCACGATTGGTTTCACTTTCGCTTTCGGCGGACTATTCGTCAAGACCTGGAGAGTACACAAAGTCTTCTCTAATAGGAGCCATAAGAAAGTAGTACGTTATTAAGTATTTAATAAGTTGCATACGCTCTCTAAATGCCATCTATTGCGACAGTATTGATTATTCGTCTGCACAGAACATGAACGCAGGTGAAGATAACCTTACGTTTAAGAAATATTATTTAGGAAATACTTTTAATTATTGTGTATTGATTCCTGTTATTATATAATAGGTGAACATGCGATATTCGAATGTTATTTATACAGTAATTATTTATACAGTAATTTTATTATTTATATATGAAATTTATACAGTAAGTATGATTACAAATTAGCAGCACAATAAAACACAAAATATGGCCCGTATTACGAGACATTAATAGGTTATGAAGTGTTTTTCCTTAGAGATAAACGCGTAGCCTAAACGAGAGCCGCAAAGAAGATTGGACAAACATCAGCGCAAAACGTTTTTAAAAATTGTATTATTGATTATTTTGATTATTGATTTTAAAATTGATTATTTTACTTGCGCTCAACTATAGGTGACGCGTTTACGAGATGTAATGGTTTTAATTGAAGGCTCACTGACTTCAAACATTCATCTATAACGTTTACTGAACTTGCGCAGCGTCCGGAGAAAATTCAACTTCATCCTTAACGTGTGGCAGGTGATAAAAGACAAACAACTCTTTGCATTAGTTGGCATCTTGCTACTGGGTGATCTCATCATACTGACCGTGTGGACTGCTACAGATCCGATGGAACTTATAACCAAGTCCTATCCACCGCAGGTATGTATACCTGTCTTTCTCTTCTTCATCTATCGCCTCGTATGAACGGGTTTATACTGCACTAGCTGTTACAACTAGCGCACGCGAGTCCACTTCAGTTTCACCTGCAAGGAATCAATTTCCCGTTTTGATTTCCCATTACTGGCGAATGGTTTTTCCGCTAACGATTTGGGAGAAACGATACAACGCAGACCGAGCGTATTGCAAATTCAGCTATATAGTGCGGCAGCCATGTGTATAATATCAGAAGGATTGTGCATTTTGTGGTAAAAGCACGAAATTTGGTACAGACATTGCTTAATATATAATTAACAAATTTAGATATCGTGCCAAGCTCAATTTTTTCCCTGGGGCCCACAAATAGCAAAATCCAAGATGGCCACCATCCGATTCCGGAATATCTTTGTGACATATCTTTGTGACAAAATGTCGTGCAAACATGAAATAAAGTGTCATTTTCTATGTTTTCGTACATGCTGAATCCATTCCAACCACAAACAAGTTGATAAAATGCAACAATTTGCGTAAATCCAAGATGGCCGCCGTTCCTAATCGGCCAAATGGGAAATCGGCAATAACTTTTGATAGAATCAAGCTGGGGCGATGATTTTGGTGTCTGCACATAGGTTTTCACATGTGAGGAACACAATGGAAGTATCAAAAATTATGTAGGATATTGCTAAGTAACAATAATCCACTAATAAAATGCTATATCTTTGTGACAAAATGTCGTGTAAACATGAATAAAGTGTCATTTTCTCGTTTTCATACCGTGTGTGTGTGTGTGTGTGTGTGTGTGTGTGTGTGTGTGTGTGTGTGTGTGTGTGTGTGTGTGTGTGTGTGTGTGCGTGTGCGTGCGCGTCGCGCGTTGTGCGTGTGCGTCAGTGGGCTGTGCGTGTGCGTGTGCGTGTTGCGTGTGTATGCGTGTGTATGCGTGTGTGTATGTGCGTGTCGTGCGTGGCATGCGTGGGTGCCGTGTGTGCGTGGTGTGCGTCGCGTGTCTGTGTGGTGTGGCGTCGCGTTCGTGCGTGCGTGTGTGTGTGTGTGTGCGTGCGTGCGTGCGTGCGTGCGCGCCGCGGCAGGCGCGGGTGTGTGTGTGTGTGTGTGTGTTGTGTGGTGGTGTGTGTGTGTGTGTGTGTGTGTGGTGTGCTGTGTGTGTGTGTGTGTGTGTGTATGTGGTGGGGTGTGAGTATGTCGCAGCACTGTTGGATTCCTTCGCAATTAGTATCACAGCTGTTTGCTTTCTACATAGCGGGGAAACTAATAGTGTGCTGACTTAATAAGCCCGCTCCGGGTGTCAGTCGTTGATTGTGGTGATCAAAGATTTACGTGTGAAATTTCGAGGAAGTGGTAATTGTAAGAAATTGGTGTTAATACGGCACTCAGCATGAACATTCCTTAATTCTTATAGTGTGCAACATGGCCAAATATTGGTATAATATTGGTATAATATTGGTATATATAATATATAATATACAATTCTCACCAAACATGACGTCAATTATCCTTGATATGGTTTGTGGAACTATTGAAATATTATGTGGAATTATTGAAGTATTGTGGACATTCCGGAATGCACACATAGGTAAATAAAATATATGATCACTTGCATCAGAGTCTGACAAAAGAGCGCTATTGCATCTTCACATTAATATGAAAAGATTCTAGCGTTCTCCTCTTCACCAGTTCTGAGTTACCTTAAAAGAGGCGAAGATGGTCTTGGTAATGGTGCACGAATGGTACGCAGCCATTATATTTCCGTTGGCGAAACGCATAACCACGAGGTTCATTTTTCAGCTTTTGCTTGCTACTGCACTATACAGATAATATTAGACAAACTACTAGAGAAGGACGGGAAAGAAAATGATATCGGATACAAACAATTTATGTGGATTGTGCGCATATGAGCTAACATTTTTGATAAAATGTCATTTTCCAAAATAGTAAGTCGATTTGTCATATGACTAAACTAAAATGACATATACGATGAATGTCCTTTTCATTGAGACGTTATTTATAGTGCTAATACATTTGTATGCTTGCTCGGAAATTCCATGCTAAATTCGGAAATGTTCATAATGTATATTATCAGTATCCACTTGCGTCTCATTGAACACTGGTTACCTTAACCTGTTGGCTGTTATTCAACAGAAACTTTTAGAAGAAGACGCCGTTATCTATAGCAGCCGAACGGAATGTAGAAGTCCAAACCAGATGTATTTTCAAGGCGCCATCTATGGAATTAAAGGAATTTTGCTATTTTATGGCGCTGTTCTTGCATTCGAATCCAGGTACGTGTACGAACCTCAGCTCTCAAAAGCTTACATTTGATGAAACTCGACATCCGAATGCACCGTAGTAGTGTCTATTTCAACGTTTTCTTTTCACCCAAGAAGATGTCTCGCCAAACTGTTATTGCAAGGTGCTATACAAGTAAACAATTCAAACTAGGCTAAGACGTGGTTATTAAAACTCTCGTGTAAATCCTTCCAAGCGGTATTTAAATTAACGTGTTTTTTACAAAATATTCGGGCACAAATCGTGTGTACGCACATCATGGATATAACACGTACATTATCATGTGGTTACTCTGTGTGGCGATGTAAAAACAAACAAAAAACAATATCAGATTATTTTGCGATATATCTGCTAAAAATATTTTACAAATAACAATAAAATGCTTAATTTAGGCATTAGCTGCATACCGTATACGGTATTGACGTCATTTTGGTACTGGTAACCGTTCACATCTGTGCCCACATAAAATAATGAGTTATGAAGTTAGCGTAACAAAGCCCCCTCTACATTAAAACATTTAATTTGTAAATGACAGCGGTTACGGGTAAGCTGTACATATATTGACGCGAGGTGGGAAACACTTTTTGTGCGGATGACGTTGTCGTCGCTATCTACCAACTAATACTACTATACCCCTACCACAACAACTGCACATATATACTATACATTTTGTTTTGTAATGGGCAATTCGAAAATTGCCACTATATACCGTGTAGTAAGATCGAGGCAAGGATCGCAGTATAACACAACCAGCAATTAACGTTCTTTTGTTCAATAGAAAGGTGACCGTTGAAGCTCTTAACGACGCCAAGTACATCGGACTGTCCATCTACACGGTGGTCATCCTATGCGTCATCGGTATACCGGTCAGCATCATCTTACAAGGTCAGGTCGACGCTGGATTTCTCATCGCGTCGGCCATTTTGATTCTCGCGACGACGACCACGCTGATGCTGGTGTTTGTGCCTAGGGTGAGTATGTGAAACGACGACGGGAGCGCAGCGATTGTTTGTGCTGATATCATTATAGCATGTTTTCATTTATGTTATGGCTTTTTTTCTATTGCGGAGGCAGAGTTCACATAAGGAGGCATAGATCTAACATTGCTCATAGTGATGACCAAATATACGTAGAGCCGAAATATTTCGAAAGGTGATCTTGATTCAGTGTCACCGTTGCGTCATCACGTGGTTAAACGAATGTTTGTGGTATCTGGTAAAGGATTATGTGAAAACTGTCGTCTGGCGCGAACTGTTCAGCGTCTGCATTATAATCATTAGGTCGTACAAAGGTTACTTTGTTCTATCAATAAATTCCTAATTGCTTTGTTAATAAGCATTCGTTGTTTGCGACACAGACGTGGAATCAATGTTAATGATTTTTCTGCAATAGATCAACGTATACATGGTCAGATAACAGCTATATGGACGGGCAGCTGTACAGTTGCTATAGATTTTTAAAAAAACGGTTGTATACTCCTTAATTAGCAGAAGAAATCTAATGACAAACCCAGTAATAACTGCAAGTTAAAAAAAAAAAAATAATAATAGTCTTGCTGCGTCATGCATAGCAACGTTAAACGCACTGACTGCAAATGAGAGTGTGAGTCTAGGTTCTTATTTGCAGTTGATTTTGCTGGGACAGGGAGAAGCTAGAATCGCAGCGGCTACATCCACTAGCTTACACCATCAGTCGTCACAGCTGGGCACAACGGTGTGTGAAACAAATGGATCTTTGCATATACGCTAATAATCAGTCATATACTAAAGCACATATTTCCACGCAGTTCTTTAAATGTACAATTTGAGAAACATTAGTCTTCGAAGCTATGCAGTTGCTAATGTTACAATACACGTATCGCTAATCATACACATATACACGTGCTAGATGGATTGCAATATTTATTGCAACAGCTATATGGTGAAATTACAGTGCAATTAGCAATTACATCAAACATCGCACTAATTTTGGAGATATACATACAGAATACGTGCGAAGACATCGTTATATGCGCTTAAATTGATATAATCCTACGTTGTTTCACAGCATACATGCATTGCTGTATCTTAAAATGCGGGCTACCTATTAAAACTAGACAAAGTAACGCATGTGTAACAATGTAACATCCACGCATAGTTTCCATACAAATGCTGTTATATTAAACTGAGTATAGTTACCGTATACCTTGAACTAACGTTAGTCATAACAAACGTGTCACGAGGTAAGGGTGCGTATGAGATTTTTGCGTAGCCACTCAGTTATTTAATTTCATGTCTTCTTCGTTATTACAGGGTACTACAGGGCCGGTAGACAAACATGTCATAACTATTCTAAGAACTGAGCTCCTGGAGGTCAAAAACCAGCTAGACAAGCTGAAAGACGAGTTAGATACTATTTTGTCACTATCAATTAATATTAAACAAGCTTCGAAATACACGGAGAAGCTCTTAGATCAGGATTGAAGTAATTAATGTAACCTTCGTGAGTCTTTTGACTCCAATGTACTAGGTCCGGAAATGAGATGATATTTGGCATTTGATGTCGGCATAACATTATTCATGTTTCAAGTTATTATGTATGTAAACCAGTGGTTCTTAACTTTTTTTGAGTCATGGACCCCTTTGAGAATCTGGTGAAAGCTACGGACCCCTCCCTAGAAAAATGCACATAAGCACATGAACACAAAGGTGTGCATACAATGGGGTTCACGGACCCCCTGAAGCCCATCCACGTATCCCAAGGGGGTCCACAGACCACATGCTAAGAACCCCTAATGTAAACTAAAGATTCATATCAACTGTTCACAGATGGCAGCAGCTTACAATATACGTGTTGTTGTTTTTCCAGGAATGATGCGCTAAAGAAGAATACAGGCAACACTGGCTGAATACTAAATGCTGCTAATGCTACTGATATTGCTACTGCCACTGCTTCACACGGTTGTAGACTAGGAGCGTGGCACGAGACTTGATAGGAGCGTGATCATATACCTGCGTGACGACCACACGCACATACACGCATGCAGGCAGGCACGAACGAACGCACGTACACTTACGCTCTCACACATCTGAACACACGCACCCGCGCGCGCGCATACACACACACACGCGCGCACACACGCGCGCGCGCCCACACACACACACACGCACGCGCGCACGCGCGCACGCGCGCACGCACGCACGCACGCACACACGCGCGCGCGCGCACACACATGCACACACAGCACTCTGCAGACAGTAGTAGGCGACGCCACTGCCACCTATAAACAAAAGGAAAACGTTTTATGTTGCAAATTTGATGTACCTTGTCGAATAATGTTGTAACATTCTATCCGATCGCCGAAAAATACGCACGACCAAAACCATAATATCATTATCATATCCTAGTGATGCATTTTTGAGTAGTGTAGTATCTGTTAAGTAATGCAGTATACTATGTTGTTTTGAACGCAGCTACTTAAAACGCAAACGTGCATAGCAAACATAATTAGTCGCTGGCTCTGACGGTACAAGGCCCTGAATTCGTCGCCACGTGGTGTCGCTGTGTCTACATTACCTGTGCCATGTCCGCGACATTACCTGTGCCATGTCCGCGACATTACCTGTGCCATGTCCGCGACATTACCTGTGCCATGTCCGCGACATTACCTGTGCCATGTCCGCAACATTACTAGCGTGCAACGCGGTCAATAGATAATGAGATATCACCAATCACAATCCTGCTAGAAATGTCGTTTGTAAGTATATTATCTCGCGTCAATTAACGAGGCAGTCATTATTCCATCCAAAGAGAATTAAAAACCATGATATATGTTAATCACCATATATCAGCAGGCGAATACTATAATTTGTATTACTTCAATGCAAGAATGTAAACTCTAGAAACGCTTGTGTTACCTTATTTCGGTTGCACCTTTCAGAGAATCGCCTCGCTATAGACTTATATATAATATAACGCCCAATTGAATGATGTCAAATAGAGTTTGCCCTTAAACGGCACTATAGTATTATGATATAAGTAGACATGTTCAGTTGTTTTAGAAAAGATATTCAGTAAATTGCTAGCCACATGAATTCTGCAATAGGATAAGTATTAAGAGTATGGGTCACGCAAGAACATTTCACCAGTGATGAAAAAAGATATTGCATGCCACAGTCCCGGCCACACACTTATACGAATACTGCCGGTGTGGGTACATTATCGAGAGAGCTATTTATTACGAAAATGAATCGATGTTTGTTGTATTTTTTATATTTCAACATTAGCATGATGGCTGACGGAGTGTCCGATTGACTCGTTATCCCGGGGGAAAGACCTAGTGCATATGAACATAGCGCATAGGGGAAAGTAGGAGTAAGAGAAGTGCAAGAGTAGCTAATATACAAACATGGCACATATAATATGGCACAACTCTATCACACTGTTACTGAGACACTGTGAAGTGGTTTTTTTCTTGCTTGGGTTCATGCGATATATGATGCATCTAAATCAGCCTTCAATTCTAGTCATCGATTTCACAAAACAGCGTTTGTGAATTATATGTCAATAACTTTTTCAGTTTATGCTTGATATTTAATATATATTCCAGCAATACATCTAAATTAGGGCCTATAGCAATAGTTAGATCTTTGGTAATGTTCTCGTTGCTATAAAATACTTGCGCTTATTACCTCCGCCAAGGGGTTGGCAGGAGGTTACGTTTTCATCGGCGTGTGTTTGCTCGTTTGTGGGTTTGTGGGTTTGTG